CTGAAGACTGGAATAAACACAAGGGAATGCACTCTCCTCTCCCCCCCCCCCCCCCCAACTGACTGAATTTTCACCCTTAAATCGTATGCCGTCCAGGCCAACAATTCCATCCCTTCCAGGATCGATCAGTCGGTATGAGGTCGGTCTGGGAGGATAAAAACACTGACTTGTACATCGGCTGGCCCCGCAAGTCATTGTATAGGCCACATCGCATTCAAAACGCCACTACGAATACAAATGGAAGTAGAATGCGTGCCGCATCCCAAAAAGGGATTGATCAACGGCAAATGCTTTATCCTTTTTGTTCAATAAAAAGGTAAAAAAAAACAGTAGTGATAGGTAGACGATAGCGAAAAATGATTGATTAACAACGTGTGATTTCCGGCTGTAACTGAATAATCAGCTGAGAAACACACCTGTTGAGATTTCTGTAGACAGTACAAATACTCAAGGAAAAAGTTGAGCAGAAAGCTTTTCCCTTTGCGAAACGCTCCGGCGACGCTGATGATAACAACCTGAAATAATTTCAGTGTACTCTTTTTCCTGCAACTATTTCTCGCTAGCCAAGCAATGTGTGAATTTTTCCCCCAATGCCGAAACCCCGACCGATTCGATGGTGTTCGTCCACGAATTTTCTGCATTCCATCGATCAGATCCAGATTTTTCGGCGGAAAAATCGAAATCTTCTAAGGCTAACCGAGCGACGAGTTCTTATCGATAGGGATGCCGAGCTTTATCGCTGAAACGCTTCTTTGGAAACATGATTGTGGATAAATTATGCCCAATAAAGCTCAGTTAGTTCGGGAAACAGAATTCCGGTCTTCACGCCAGGTCCGGTCAGCACGCTGAGGGCCCTATGCGCCATTTTATGTAATTTTGTAGACCTCATGGAGTTCAATATTTTCAGGACTCAAACCTTTCTACAGTACTCCCAGTTTCAAACCTTGAACAACACCTCGCTTGTGTATCACTTGCTAATCTTTGCTATTGTTGATACGCAATCAGAATAATCAACAGCGCCCCGATGGCTTTGCGTCGGCCGAACTGACGCGAACACTAGCGGTGGGGGAGGGGATGGCGATTGCGATTTTCGGATCTCGATCCGATGGAGAGAAAAAAGTGCTTGATAGGCGGGGCAGGTAACCGACGAATATAAAAGCCAAGAAAACGATTGTAAGAGTCGGTCTAGCATGGATATCGACTCGAAGATCAAGGCCTATCGCTTCGTCGGCTATGCAGCCGTCACATTTTCGGCCGTTGCCGTCCTGTCCGTGTGTATCACCCTTCCCATGGTCTACAACTATGTCCATCATGTCCGTTCGCAGTTGCACTCCGAACTCACTATGTGCAAGGTACGGTAGACAGAGATTTGCACCCATTCATATGCTGTTCTTACTTTAACCTGACTTGTTCAGGGCTCTGCAAAGGACGTATGGTCCAGCGTATACTCCATCAAGGATCTGCCAGTAGCTGCAAATAGGACAACTAGGAGCAGTTACAGCGACCAGTGCAACGGATGTTGCCTTCCAGGACCGATGGGACCTGTCGGATCACCCGGAAAGCCCGGAAAGCCAGGAAAGCCTGGAGCTCCAGGCATGCCTGGAAATCCTGGTCGACCACCTCAGGCACCTTGTGAGCCGGTGACTCCACCACCATGTCCTGAGTGTCCACAGGGACCACCTGGACCTCCTGGACCTCCTGGACCACCTGGAGATAACGGAACACCTGGTGAGCCCGGAATAAAGGGACAAGATGCACCTCCTGGCGAGCCTGGACCTAAGGGGCCACCTGGACCTCCTGGACCTCCTGGAAATCCTGGAGCACCTGGAGAGCCTGGTCAGTTGATATTACTCTTATTAATGTTTCTTTTTATGTCATATAGAAAACACATTTGTTAAAGCATGTTTAGGTTCACTAACGCATTTTCAGGAGAGCCTGCCAAGTCAGAACCTGTTGTTCCTGGACCACCTGGAACTCCTGGAAGTCCAGGACCACAAGGACCACCCGGACCTCCTGGAAGCAACGGAATCGACGGAGCACCCGGAGAGCCTGGACCCAAAGGACCTGATGGCGAGCCTGGAGCGCCTGGGCAAGATGGAGAACCTGGACAACCTGGCCACGCTGGTCAAGATGGACAACCCGGAGAAAAGGGAATTTGCCCGAAATACTGTGCGATCGACGGTGGAGTCTTCTTCGAGGATGGAACTCGCCGTTAGGTGGACGTTGTACATCACAGTATTATTTATTAAAGCCTTCAAAGTCAAAATCCTATTAAAAATTGACAAGATTTTTGTTGTTGCATTTAAATCGAATATTTTTCCCAAAGAATCGTGTCGTGTCACAGAGCAGTAGTGAAGGGTGACTGCTGAAAGGAGTCATTTGATTGATGAATAGGTTCAGAATTGTGTTTTTCTCGAAGGCAAATTGGCTTTTGTCAGCTGATTGAGTAGGTACGAGCAGCGGCTTCGTTGACTCCTTTCATCAACGGAGGCTCCTGCTGGAACAGGCTAGTAAGCTGCTCTTCCTCCACTATCAAACCACCAGCATTTTAGCGTCACTAGAGAGGAACCCTAGGACAATTTCTTCTATCAAACACCCCATCATTCTTTTGTCGTCGAACACCACTGCGGTGAAAATACGGGAACTGGCACAATCGTAGAAAAAAACACGAAAACCGAAAATCCCTCTGATGGAGCCGATCGAGAACTGAAACGCCCTGGTTCGCTGCGCAAGCAAGAAAAATTGACAAGGCAAAGCCATTGCGGTGTTATCGCGCGACGGGTTACAGTGTGGTCAGCTTGGATCTTGAAGGTCAACGAAACCCTAGATTGCGCCTAAAACTCCTGTGCAATTGCTAGGCAAGGCTACAACTATGGGAAGGTTGAACTATGGCATAATTGTAAGAATCACAAGTTGATAATCAAATCAATATGCACAAATTAAATTCTACGAGCTAATTAACCTCATGAGAAAATGCAGCCGAAGCTTTGCCTAGTTTCGCTGAGATCCGAGGGCCTGAGGGCAGCCCCTGGGAAAATTCATAAGCCGTATTATAAGGCGTTAAAATTAGTCAAATTTCTCACTTCAAACAAATCTGAAGATCCACAGAACGCAAAGACACACGTTACCGTGCAATTTTCACCAGTGTTTTAATCGCATGCCCTGTTTAGCCCTCAATTCCGTTATAGGTCCCATGCTATAAGGTTTCGCTCGCAGGGTAAAAATGCGTCACAGGGCTCCTTTCAAGCTCAAGAATTCCACTGAGAGCTCCACTCAAGAATTTGTTTTCAGTGCTGAAACGAAATTGCTTTTTTATCACGCCGATAGGGCTTGTGAAATCCGATCTCTAAAGTACACACTAGTAACCAGTTACCGCCAGCAGGCCCTCTTAACAAAGGTTAATCAAACGAAAAACGCCGAAAACATTTTGCAAAATTCATGTTTGCCTAGGAATCTTCTCATACAAAACAGCACGTTTTAACCAAAGCTTTATCCCATATCATGGTTTTCCATATTACCGCGCCTTGGCTTATGTGAACCTTAGCTAATTGCCGAGTCCGTATGTGCGGAGCCGAGGTTTGAAATGGAAGAAATAAAATGGAAATTAAATTAGCTATCCAACAAATTCCTTCTTAACACATTGCGTACCGCGTGCGCCACCATGTGGCGCACGATTTCGCACGAAACAGCATAGTTTAATCTGATTTATTTGACATTTTTCAATGCTCCTGAACTGGTTTGCACTCATTTTCAGAGCCGGGAAACCATACGTGTCATCACTGATAAAATTGTTGATAGATTAATGATGAGATTTTGAAAAATATAATACACTCATACCACGGCGATCCGAAGTGGTGTTAAAAGAATCCTCCCGTGAAATTCTTGCATCCCCATAAATGTGCCAATTGTGATCATTAGAGACAACGTGCAAAGCTTCACGCACGAAGATTCAGTTTTTGAAGAGAAACAACGTACGAAAACTACAGGCTATGGACAGTCCAAGGTAGGTCGCGCGGAGCCATAGGCGGTGCATGGAAAGCAAGTGCGCCTTGGAGCGATCATGCATATCAGGCGACGCAGTTGAAGAATCGAGTTAAGCGTGCGATTTTAGAGAGCAGAAACAAAAGGATCGATAGGAAAGGATGCAGTAGAAGTGCGAAATGCTAGCGCAATATTCAAAAAGTCAAAAAGAAGTCCTAATGGGGTGGCATTCCGTGAAACAGTGCCGACAACGTCCCGTCCTACACTTGGACAGAACTTTCCGGCTGGATTCAAAACGCTGACAGTACTTTCGATTTTTCAAACTGTTTACCAAAAAACGTAATTTGTTTGGTCCTTTTCGTTCTTTTCGTAAAGTATGGATGCCATGTCATGCCGGGTGAGATAGAATCATGATTTTCCCTGAAGGATTTCTTCAAGCTCGACATCAGTGAGTGCTAGCACCCCACAGGCTTGGAGTGGAACGTGCTCTGGTTTGTTTTTTTTTTTTGTGTTTTTTTTTTTCCTGCCAGTGCAGTATCACCACGTGGATCACAAAATAATCCGCTTCCATGACATGAGCCATGAGAAATTGCCTAACAAACAGTAGTATAACCATTGTAACATCCTACTTACTATAAAGCGCTTCGTCTGTCGTTCTGTCGTCCCTCTGTCTGTCGTTCTGTCCCCTGTCTGTCGTTCTGTATGTCTGTCACGAAATTCCCTAGCTCCTCGGGATCCGCCTGGAGGGACCGGGTCAAGTGTGGGATGGGTGGGCAGGGTCTCACGTAATACAAAACACACATCAGCTAAGCGGAGCCCCGCCCACAGAGGGCGTGGCGTGCGTCGAAATGAATTGTACCAAAGACCAAGATTTCGATTTCAGTGAAAAAACGACCTCGAAACTGGGCCAAAAAGTGGGCTAAGGTGTGCATTGGTAAGTCACATCGAATTAGGGAGACCCACCCCCGGTGGGCGGGGCGTTCTCTAAAAAAGCAGTGCTTTATGAAAAATTTCATAACTCGGTTGGGAGAAAGCCTACAGAGCAGAAAAAATTGGTGTAAGGGAGCAATGTCTAAGGTGTTTCCAGCATACATGACGTGGGCGGAGGCCCGCCCAGAATGGGCGGGGCGCGCTCTGAAGTGTACAGCATTTTCTACAAGCCCTCATAATTCGGGTCGGGGAAGTCCTAAAGAGCCGGAAAAAGGTGGATAGAGGTGTATGGAGGAGTGGAGGCCAGCTGTCAATGGTGGGCGGGGCTTGACCAAAGTGGGCGGAGTTTGCGACGAAAATTTATAACTCGGCTCCATGAAGCTCCGGAGGCTGGGGAAAAGGTGGATAGAGGTGGGTGGAGGAGTGGAGGTTAATTGTCATTGGTGGGCGGGGCCTGACCAAAGTGGGCGGAGTTTGCGACGAAAATTTATAACTCGGCTCCATGAAGCTCCGGAGGCTGGGGAAAAGGTGGATAGAGGTGGGTGGAGGAGTGGAGGTTAATTGTCATCGGTGGTGGGCGGAGCTTGACCAAAGTGGGTGGAGTTTGCGACGAAAATTCAGAACTCTGTTCCAGAAGGTCCCGGAGAGTGGGGAAAAAAGAAGATATAGTTGGGTGGGAAAGTGGAGGTCAAAGGCCAGTGGTAGGCGGGGCTTGGCCAAAGTGGGCGGAGTTTGCGACGAAAATTCATGACTTGGCTCCAAGAAGTCCCTGAGGCCGCGGAAAAGGTGGATGGAGGTGGGTGGAGGAGTGGAGGCCAGCTGTCAATGGTGGGAGGGACATGACCAAAGTGGGCGGAGTTTGCGACGAAAATTCATAACTCGGCCCCAAGAAGTCCAGGAGGCTGGGAAAAAGGGAGTAGAGGTCGGCGAAGGAAAGGAGGTCAAATGCTATTAGTGGGTAGAGCACGCACCTAAGTGGGCGGAGTTTGCCAAAAGTGTCGTAATTTGGTTCCAAGAGGTCCCAGAGACCGGTGAAAAAGGGGGTAGAGGTCGGCGAAAAGAAGGGAGCCAAATGCTATTGGTCGGCAGGGCACGCACCGAAGTAGACGGAGTTCGCCACGAGATTTATTGTCCGGGCCGAGGACCGAGAAAAATAGGATAATGGTTGACGAAGAAAGAGCGCATAGAATTTAGCGGAGAATTCAGATATTCGTATTGTATCAAGCCAAATTTGAAATTTTTCGTCGCACCATCAAAATTCGCCACAGATCTGTGTTGCGCGCGCAATGCGTGCGGCGCCAACTGGTAAATATATATTATCAAAAACAATATGGATGGGTGGCAAAATTCTCTGAACACACGACCGAAAAAAGGCAAAAGCAGTGCCTATTCCTTCAAGATTCAAGCTTTAACGATGCTATGAGAACTCAGTATACACACAGGAGCGCACAAAAGTCTGGTCCAGGCGGTGAATCCTTCTCTACTGTTAATATTTTCCATAGGGATCAAATCGGATTCAATTAATAGCTTCGAAGGCAACCCTTCGTTTACCGAACTAGTACACTTTTACTGTGACACAAAAAAAGTTGAAATGAAAAAAATCACTCGCCAGAAATTCTTAGTATGTCGAATTACCACATTCAGATGGTTCAAATGATTGTAAAAAATCAAAATTTGACGAAAACAGTCGCGTGCGTTAAATAAAAGATTGTGCAGTATTCAGTACAATGACATTCTGCCACAGCAGGGCACGGAAGAATCAGTTGATGAATTCAGTGTTATTGAGGCAAGTTACTCGATCTTCCTTCAAATTTGACGAGTTTCTCTTCCACAGTTCTGGCTCTTTTTTCTGCCAAATTTCCCTGCCCTTTTCACGACGCTAGGACATGAGACCGAACTCTTCCCTCCGTTAGAGGCACACCCTACTGGCCAAAGCACTCTTGCACAGCTGAAAGAATCCTTCCCGGAAAATTCCTTGCATTCTTTCCCAACATGAATGTGTCGGTTGTGATCACTAGAGACAGCAGACAACGTTGAGGTAGAAAGGGTCGTAAAAATTTCCAAGTCGCCCAGACGCCATGGCGCCACCACTTATACTGCCTGTGCACTACGGAGAATACCGCGTGCAATGATCATTGGAGTACTGAAGAGACTCACTGCCAACACAAAAGATCAAATTGAATAGTCATGGATATGTTAGAAATATTTCCCACTTGGACCAATTTTCTCCGCCTTAAGGCGATCTGATCAAGGTAAGGGCAACCTTTTTGCTGCGCAGTTGCGCCCCCAGGACATCCAAAGGTGA